TGAAGGAGCCTTCTTATCAGGCACTGGATCAAAGAGAAATGGCTGGTACTAAGGGTGTTGATGTTAATGAAGGGTCTTATGGACATCTGTTGGGATTTACAAGGAGTCCAGATAATACAACTGCAGCTGCGTTACCTCAAGACCAAAACCCTTACCAGGCTATGCAGCCTGAGAATCGGCGGTCTACACAATATCAGTCACTTCAAAACATGCATAAACCTACATTTAATGTGTAAGATTTAGAGAGATGACGCAATAAGAATAATTATACCTCTTTACCTTGAATTGGGTGTAATGTTTTCGCATTTCAGACCATGATGGCCACCTGTCATTCGCTATGAATTTATTAAATGCTTAATTAAAAAAGTGACACGGGGCCTGAAAAGGGGAAACAATACGCTAAAGGTAAAGAGGTCTATTGGACTCAAAATGAAAGGGAAAGGTTGACTTATTTTTATCTGTTTTAAAGCTTATATAGCTAATGATGTTATTCGCGCGGGATCCCTGTTTTGTGAAAGGTCTCTTTTAATTTTGGGCTTCCTTTGTCAAATGCCAGGTTTCTAAGCTAAATTCAAGATGGTGGACAAGTTGTTTCATCGCTATAACCTCTGCAAGTTTTGATTCATATTATCGACAATTTAAAGCTTATTTAAATGGAGGAAAATCCCTAATAAGTAATCTATGTTCACTTCCTAATAAGGTAAGCTTAACAAGTATGGATATATAGAGTTCATGGCCACGCGAACGAAAATTTTATTTGGGGCAAAGTTTGATATGTTAACTTCTTAACCGTACCAGTGTTACCATCTACATTATTGCAAGCATTCTGTATGTATGGTTGACAAAAAAGCCACTACTAATGGCCATTTATTGAACTAGCTTTATTCCTTTAGTTGGAATTAATTTCAAAATAATTCTTACAGATTTACCGATTCTTCTTTTCGTTTTTTGTTTTTTTGTTTTTCTGTTTTGTTTTGCATTTCGTTCAGTAACATAATTTACATTTGATACTTTCCTAATAATAATATTATACGCTTATGATATAGTTATGTTTGCTGACAACATTGTTTTACATTCATTGGACATTTATTTYACAAATATATACAGTATGACAATATAAATTTCCTTCAACTATATTAAAAAACAAACAATTAAAATAAATGTTAGTTTTTAAAAAATGCAAAAGTTATATTGAAAAATCGATTTGAGATATCAAAMTATCCTGTTACTAGGAAAAGGTTTSTACTCRTCTAAAGCGCTGATAATGCTGACAAAATATATAGCTCTAAGTATCTATGTGTCTGCTACAAAAGCAACAGTTTTCAGGAAGTAAATATTTACCCAAAATTTCAGAGTTCCATYCAGCAAGAGTCAGCAATACTTCAGTATTTTTAGATTACGACAGAACCATCTTGTCATTATCAACTGACTTGCTTCAGCTTCGGACGTTTATTTTTATTGAAGGGGGAGTGGGTGGTTGGGGCTTTGGGGTTCCCATTAAACATTTAAAGTAAGAAATTCATGGCCATCCTATATCAAGTCAAAAAAACAATTAGCTTTCGTCAAAATAATAAGATTTGTCCCTGAATAAAGATTGAACTTTTAGTGATAACCCTCCCCTCCCGTATCTTCCCCAATTCTAACAAGGCTTTGAGGATATATTGTATGTGGATTTTTCTTTGCTTTTGTATAATTGTAGGTGGTATTTTCCATCAAACATTTTGAAATGATTTGAATGATGCATCTTTGATATCTTTGAGATGCATCACTCAAATCATATATGCTAATAAAAATATTTTACATCGACTATTTACTGCATTTACAAATGTTGTATGCCAAACACCAATAAGAGTTCACTTCACATCGATAGCCAAAAGCAAAGTACCTATATTTAAAGTCGGTATTTCCTTCAAATTCAACTGCTATCAATGCAAGTCGACAGTGCGCACTTTACCCCCCTGCTAAGGTTGCGCAGAATAGACTGAGCCGGAGAAGTCGAAACAGACGTGGCGATGCTGATGATCTAACTAATATATAGTTATTTTATCCCTGCCATAGGTCTACTTGTCCTAATTGTATAATTTTATACAGTTTTTCTCTTGGAGAGCATATTGGTCCTTCTTCTTCTTGCCCATAGGTTATTTTCTTTAATTGTCACTGCACTTTTAACAGCCATAGATTGGCTGCAGAACAATTAACTTTTTACGAGGAAAAGCTGCTATGGTTAATAACATGCGAATAAAACACAAAACTGCTAGATATCACATTTGAACTTATAATTGAATAGTATTAGTTTTTGAAGTCATACAACTAGAACATCATAACATTATTCTGCCACCATTGCTCTGAATGTAGAACCCTATTTCCCCTTTTGTTTTCACAGACAACAGCATACTACAAGTAAAAGTACCACAGCAAGAAAGTGGTTGTTAAAAATAGTGATCCAGATGGCGGAAGCAAATAATGTATTTTTTCAATGTTATTGTTTTGATATTCGACGTTTATAAACTGATTCAACTGTAACGTTGTGTTAAGAGGGCTTTCATTTTTCTCAGTTATTCTTTTATCCAGATATTTGACATAAAAAGGTCCACTGGTGTGAGTTAAGTGTTAGACGTATGTGAGGTAAGATCAGCTGTAGTTGTGCCTTAATTAAATTTCAAATCTTTTCCTATGGAATGCCATTCGTTCATCCATTTATGCTCTTACTATTTTTATAGTGTATGGCAAGTTGTAAACAATTCATTATTTTCTAGATGTCCAACAGCGTGTATTTAGTATCAATAACATAAATATTACATGGNATATATTGTATGTGGATTTTTCTTTGCTTTTGTATAATTGTAGGTGGTATTTTCCATCAAACATTTTGAAATGATTTGAATGATGCATCTTTGATGTCTCTGAGATGCATCACTCAAATCATATATGTTAATAAAAATATTTTACCATTCAACTATTTACTTCATGTAGAATTAATGCTGAAAATATTGAATTAGGTGTCATTAGCACTTTAAGTTTAATTAAATGTTGTATGTCAAACACCAATAACAGTTCACTTCACATCGATAGCCAAAAGCAAAGTACCTATATTTAACGTCGGTATTTCCTTCAAATTCAACTGCTATCAATGGAAGTCGCAGTGCACACTTCATCCATTTATGCTCTTACTATTTTTATAGTGTATGGCAAGTTGTAAACAATTYATTATTTTCTAGATGTCCAACAGCGTGTATTTAGTATCAATAACATAAATATTACATGGYTATTGAGTATGACCGTGTTTGACGGACCAGATAAAATATTCATAAAATAGCTGATATTTCGTTCGTTCTTACCGTGATTCACTTGTCCCTATGAAGATGAAGCTTGGATTTCTTTTTTTCATCCTTGTTCAGCTTAGCATATTTTCTTCAAGCGGTAAGGAAACTGTTTTAGGATTCTAAAGAAACAAGATAACAAACTTAGAAGGGTATATCTGAATCATGTTTATTTTATTTCCGGGTGATTCATTCGCTTATTGCGTCAGAAAACGGAAGCGACGGAAGCTTGTAGCAAATAAATGTGTAAAGCGCTCTGAGAAGATGCTATAAGTTGCCAATCGTATTTGCAATATTTGACTTCATGGTTACAGAAATTAGAAATTGCTTCATTCTTCAAGAGCTCACATCTCTGAACTTACATGAAAATGTACCTCTGTCAAGCAGACCCCTTATTAAGCGGGTATTAACTACGACTTCTCCCCAACCGTATTTACTGTAAAACCGAACATGGCGGACACCTAACAAATCGCACAAATGTCCACTTGATAAAGGTACCACTGCATTTGGTGCGTACCAGCTTGATAGAACGTTTTACCTTGAGTGAAATAACAGATAGCGTTGTCGGTTGGAGATCTGAAACTTTGAAGTCATCAAAACAAACAAACACGAAGCAAGGGAAAGTGTTAGTGTTTTGTTAAATCAGTGTTAGTGTTAATGTTTTTTTAAATCAGAAGTTCGCAACATGTACCTAAATATACCATCATCTTTGAGCGATGACCGGCGCTGGCGAATTCTCTCAAATTTTGATATTGCTTATCATTGAAATAAATCACAAAGTGACTCACTTGGAGGATCAACCCAGCCTCGGCTACCGGGATTCAAGGCAAAAGTGTCAACATCACTTGGACTGCTGATCTAGGTGTAGGTGAAACATGGTTGAATGTTAGAGTGAGCCAGGAAGTAGATGGCTCAAAAAAATCGATGATAAAGTATGACAAGACACTAGGGAAATATGTTTATAAAGCTTATGAAAGCCGAGATGCGGATTTGAATCTAACTGCTTCTCTTACTGGTACTCTACTGACATCGGTGTTTACAATGAAAAACCTGAACTATTCAACTGATGAACATTTATACATTCTACGTATACACTATGAAAATGCTGAAGGCGACGAGAGCCTTGATTCAGCTGACTTGCAACTAACGATCCTTGGTAAGTGTTTTCTATTAGTTTCAACCATAACTTTCGTTCACGCCTTACTTAGATTATATATTGTTATGGTTCGTTCCTGTTTAACGACAACACACCTTGCTCTTGGACTGATATTATTTATTGAAGAAACAAATTTATAGAAATAAATTATTCTACAATTATTCACGCCGAAAGCGAGGTGATTATCGTAATATRTTTTCACAAGGGGCTCCCCGGTGCTAACAAAGCCAAGAAGGTCATAAAAAATATGGGATTCTTTTATAGCTCATTTTCACATTGTCTCAATGCGCTTTACATTGCAGTGGAGGACTTTACGGGCTGCATATTAAGACGGTATTAGCAGCATTGCAGCTCACAATCATGAGTGTGAATTGTTAGTATGTTAGTATTATGCCTCCAGATAGGGATAGGCTGTTGAACCGGGAGACAATCCCCTACTCTTACACGAATAATTCAACAGGTTCTTTTATGTCCCCCATTTACTGTAGGTTAGGAAGGGTTGGGAGACAGGCCCTACGGTT